CGTACTGCAGTTATTTCAATAGACAGACTCAAACCAGCATACTTACTCAACGAAGACGACACTCTATCAACATCAGTTACGCGCCAACAACAAGACAAGATACCTACAACGACTTCGCGCCAACTGCAGCAAGCCTACGTACCTACTGCATCTGCGCGCGAACAAACATCGAACTTTCTACCTACAACTACGAGTAACGACGCACGGACAATGTCATTCACCCCACCCCGCGACGCCTACGTCACCCGCACCGGCCGTACAGTGAAACCAAACGTACGCTTCGCTTAGGGGGGAGTGATATAGCGGCATACATACATACCTACCTACATTCTATGGCATAACCACCACACCTCATACCTATTACCAGATAACCTTTACCGTACCTCCTTCAAGAACCAGATTACCTTTACCTCCGTAACCAACAAACCAATACCAACGTTTTTGACTTTCTGTGATCAGAAACAGTGAAACAGGCCGCCTTGAAAAAGGCGTTGCAAACGTTTTAGACTTCTGACAGAAACTCGTCTTGAAAAAGACGCTTGTAACGTTTTTGACTTCTGCTAACAGAAACTCGTCTTGAAAAAGACGTTTTAAACGTTTTTGACTTCTGCTCAGAAACGAGATATAGTGAGCAAGCAATTAAGCAGGCAAGCAAGCAGAAGCGAAGCTCGAAGCACACGAAGACGCGAAGTTGCGGTCCACGACACTGGACACGTCTGTAGTCGTCGGCGGCACCGGAGCGAAAGGACGCGTCTCGCGGCACGCGCCCTATTTTCATGTTTAAAAAAGTACTCTGTGCCTATTATAGCCTCGCGCTGTGCTCGCGACATCACGACGAACGGCGACCGCGACGGCGCATGCGCGCAGCCGCTCTGCCGAGCCTTGCGACAACCGTGCGCTGCTATTGGTAGATGACATATACCTATGTGTGATAGCGTGTAAGTTAGCCATAAGAATTGTAAATATTAGTAGAGACATTGTGCCGAATAAAATCATTCCAAACCATGACAGCCTCGAGTTAATAACAAGAAGAAGAAACCCTGCTCTCACTCCTAAAATGCATTTTTAATTTTTCTTTTTTTGCGCAATCGAATTCTAAGTATTATTACAAAACTTTTTTCCAAACAAACATGACCTGAATTTTCGATTTTTCTAAATAAATTACGCATTTGAAGTTACGAACAGTAATGTACGTTATAAATAAATGCAGACCCGCACAAAAAACATCGTGCATCTCAGTAGGATTTTTATTCTACAGAATTGTTTTGTTGTTGCGAAGTAAAACGTCGACCTACGTACTTATCACAGCGTTTTAATGCTAAGCTGTGAACCTTCGCACACAATGACACGAAGCCCGTTTGCTTTACATTGCTCGCAATAATTTTTTTTTTGATACCTAAAAATAAAAGTCGTTTCCCAGTGATAATTTTAGCGTAAAGCTACTTAGTCAGAACTGCAGTATGCGTAGTTAACGGCTTCGTTAAGTGTCTTTTTACACCCTGTATAAATAAATAAGAAGTAAGAAGTGAAGTGAAGAGTGGAAGAATAAATGAACTGAACGCAAGATACGAAACAATACTAGTCGAACAACGAATGTCGTTAGACGAACAGATGTGCGACCAAATTATCACAGTATATGAAGCAATACCTCCCTAAGAAGCCACATAAATGGGGGTTTCAAACTGTTTTTGTTGTGCAGTATTTATGGATTTGCACAAATTTGAAGTGTATGCTGGGAACGAAAAACATCCTACCCTTCCTGGTGAGCCAGATTTGGGACCTGACTGACTGAGGATCGTCCCCAGACGTGCAAACCACATTATTTATTTTGACCAGTACAACACCTCGATACCGCTGGCGGTTTATCTTTCTAAAGAAGGGATACAATTTTTAAGAACTGTACAAGCAAATCGTCTAAAAATAATAAGCTACCTGATAAAAAAGCTATTATGAAACGAGACGTGCCCCGAGGTCATTTTGTGGAGACAGTGGGTAATGTAGATGGGAGTTGATTTATGTGCCTTTGTTTTGAAGGATAACAAATCCGTTACATTACTTTCATCATAAAGAGTACCGGTAGCTTGTCCCCAAATTATCAAAGATTATAACGCCCACATGGGCGGAGTGGACTTGCTCGACAGTTTAATAGGAGATACCGTATCATTCTAAAAAAGTAGGAAGTGGACAAATAGATTATTTTATCATCTTTAAGATATGTATGTAATCAATGCATGTACAAGAAAATATTTATGATAAATAATAATACTTCAGTAAATAAAAAACCACTAAACTTATGTAAGTTTAGGCTGGAGTTGGCAAATGCCCTATGCAATCTAGGTGGACCATCTAGCAGTGGTAAACGTGGCCGTCCTAGCACGAGTTCATTAGAGGCTGAGTTACTTAAAAAAAAGAGGGGACCAGCACAACCTGTACCCCCAAAGATGTCCGCCTAGATTGCATAGGGCACTGGCAAGTCTTTGATGATAGAGCCAGGTGTAAATATCCTGGATGTAAGGGGTATACTTACACTAAATGTGAAAAATGTAGGGTCAGCCTTTGTTAAGATAGAGAAAAAATGGTTTTTACAAATTTCATAACAAAAAAAATAAAAGTTTTTATATATTTACCTACATTGTTTTATTTCAACAATAAAACTGATACAAAGTTATGGTAGTAAGTGGTAAGGAATGCGCAATGTTGCAGATACGCAACAACGCATTTTTTATTTTTTTCAGGCTATGTAAGTATGGGAAGTTACCTAAATTTATATGTTTCTGTGTTCGAGGCACTATTCAAAGACAGAAAATATTTTGTTCTTAGATTTTAAGAACATCACGAATTTAAGGGTGGGAATTATCAGTTTCGTACACTTTCAAATTATGGTATCCGCAAATGAAACACATTGGTCTGCTTGCTTTCAGTGATTGTATTTCAAAATGTTGTAAACTATCCATAGTTCGTATGGAGTGTCATCGAGTATTCAGTATCCAGTAATGTAATTGTAATGTTTTATCAAACATTACAATTACAAGATGAAGCTTGGAGTTGTCATCCTCACTGAAAGGTCGACTGGCGGTGGCATGGGCGCTGGATCGCTTAATTCCCTATCTATAATTTGAGTTGGGCGATGCAGATGGTGTACGTACACCGACGGCGCCCGTTCACGAACATGACAACGTGTCATGTTCGTGAACGGGCGCCGTCAGTTGGAACTGGTCAGCTCCAGACTGACCTTTCTTTTTATATTTGAATGAATATTAGTGTTACACTGTTCTCACATAATTGAACTAACTGTTTGTAAAAGGAATCTGTATGTGAAACTGATTTAAAAAGAGTAACCATGGAGTTTCTCGTTTTTCTCCATCGGAATCTACACTTCGAAACGTGCCAATAGCTTCACTAAGAGGACTGACCGACAGACTGACACAATATCTTCAAAATTTTGTTTGACGTTCAGAAGTACTTGTAAGGGTCTAATTGGAATAAATGATTTTTGAATTTAACTTTGACTAGAGTCCTCTGGAAAAAAAAATCAGACATATTAGTGTTATATTCTTTCCCGAGTTTAGGAATTTAGAAATTTCATATTTGTAAAAAAGCTGTTACAACGTAAAAGTGGAGATAATGATGAATTGTAAATAAAAGTTCTTAAGTTAGTAAATTCTAGTTTTTCTTAGGAATAATTGGAGTTACACGTTACATAGCATAGTATTCTTATATATCTTAACTTCGAGGAAGGTCTTTGCAATAGCAAAATGGGTTTAGATGTGGATGCGTAGCAGAAATGCAGTGCGGTTCATTTTTGTATCTGAAAATTAAAAGTAATATTTATAGCGGATAGCGTTTCCGAACGTCTCCTTAGCCCTGGTCGTAAGCGGTCCAATAGGGGCAAGCCGCCCGATTGCTATTCGCCAGCGCCATAGAATTTTAAAATACGCGCCAAGTGGCGTTATGTTACTGGCCGCTGATTGGCCGTCACAGTTTTAGTAATGTTATGGCGGGCTTTACAGTTTGGTGTGTGTATCGTATTGTAATTTTTGTATAGTTTTATTAAAGTTTATGCTGCGTAACATGACTTTGCACTGTAACCGAACAACCCCGACTACATCCTGGCGCTCCAACGTGTGTTTAGTATAAAACAAGGGGTCAAAGTGTTATTGTTCGCGAATCAAACTTTTTCGTTCGTTGCAAGTTCGTTCATGTCGAAAAGTTAGGTATGTAACGACCGACAAGTGCTAAAAACTGTGTATGGACTGAGTGACTTTGCTATTGATTTGTGTCTACGAGTAGTTTTTGCTGGTTGGTACAACCGCGAGCCGTACTTTTGCTACTTGTGTGTAATTATAGAAAGTATAGATTAATAACCTCCTTAGACTTTTCAATTAGCAATATCTATACAGGAGAAACGGTATTTTTTTAAAAGAAGGATTTATTCTACATTTAGGTCGGTAAGAAATTAGATTGGTAGAAGATTTTTCTTCGATCGTACCTGGTCTAATAAAGGATGGAGGAAAATTAATTAGGATCACATCGAAGTGTACTCTCGTATTGTTTTAAAGGCTAACTTAATTCACATTTGAAATTTACTTACGGACTAAGCCTCGATATTTCGCTTTTCGTAATAGTAAATGAATAAGTTTGTGTATTGTAAACTACTGTTCCTTCGAATATTGCTCGTCCAGGATTCATTATTATCTGAAATAATGTATTTTCCAGGTTAGTGTATCTATTGCTGTTGGTGTGTAGCTTATCAAAATATCCAAATCCATTCATTCATTGTTTTATTGTTTCAATGCGAAAGTTACTCTGTCTGTCTATCTGTCTTTTCTTCATAAACTGCTGACCGATTTGTGTGAAATTTGCTACAGACATAGTGGAACTTAAGAAAGGGGATAGGATAGTTTTTATGACAAAAAGTAAAATAAATGCAAAATTTATAACGGACATACAGCGCCATCTATTGAGCAAAACTCAGCATCAATATAAATGTTGAGCTGTGCCTAGACGGCGATAATCGCTGTGCTGTTTTTAATATCCCGGGATACATTACATTTATAAGCTTGCGAAGCCGCGGGCAGAAGCTAGTAGATTATGTATTATATATTATTATATAGTTTATTAGCCAAGCAAAATGAAAAGAAATAGGAGCAGCTTTATTTACCGTAGCCGTATAGTATTCGCTGGGTGCTTTTGGAGCAGACATTTGAGGGTTTCCAAAAAATGCATCTTCTTCCTTATAGTTCACATATTTCAATACCTGATCATCAACTTTTTGTCGCATAACGGATTTTACAAATGTCATTTGTCTGTTTTCGCATTTCGATCTGTAACATTACCGATTTAGATTAATTAGGTACAATTATCTATTTTAGGAAGTTTATCTTTGTACGTTCATATTCATTGCAAGTAGGTACCCCTTTTTATTTGATTCGCCGGCAAACGAACAAACCTATCTAATGAAAAGAACAACAGCGCCACCAATAGACATTTGCAACATCATTTACAAGTGCATCGCCGACATTATAGGGATAGGGTGTGTTGAGGGAGGGGAAGGAATGGGTTTCCGGTAACATCACATACACGGCAAAACAACGCATTGGTTGTTTCAAAGCGGTTTCCTTTGAGGCCGTGGTATCACTCCGCTTAAGCCTGCTCATTCGAATTCGATAATGAAAATCTCATAAGAAGAATTAAAAATGCTTACCGTAATTCTGAAGTGAGAGAGTTAATGTACTCGGCAAGAGCATTTGCCACGCGGTTGTACATAGGAGAGGAGGCATCCACAGACTGCCATTTCGTGCAGGTACACCAATGTTGAGCAATGCCAGCATCGGCGCACGAACGTGATGCAGGAATCTAATGGACCATAACACAATAGACAAAGATAGTGCATAAAACTTATGTTTTCATTTTTGTAAAATGTTAATGTAAATGACGCATATGGTGATGTTAGTTGTAGTGGCTCGGAGGTTGAGTTTATTAAAGATGCTCTGATAAACGGCTAAGTAAAACATAAGGAAACGTGGACTTATAATTTCTAATTGTACGATTGATTTTCTATCCACTGAACAAGGTGGATAGGCGGCGATATCAATCCAATTCCTTCCGAAGACTACCAGACTTGTACCTTCTTCGGTATTGTTCCGATTGCTTTCCATCAGGTCATTCGTCTACTCGTTTGCCGCTCAATCAATTTAGTAACAAAAACGTTACGTAACTTTAATGTATTAGGGTATCTTGAGCTTACCGGTGTTAATAAACTCAGAGCTCTCGGTAAATTACAACCAGGGATTGTGTACATATTGCTCAAGTCTTTCAAATCTAGGACGTCCAATACTGTGGTGTGTAAATCGAAGGGTGTTGTGAGTCTTTCTATATTCTCATTTAGTGCCGCCACAGCGTCGGGTCGGAGTCGCTTGAGTTTTTCCGGAAGGAAGATAGAGAGAAGAGGCAAACGTTCCTCTAGTTTGCCATGATAGGTTTCACGAAGTTTCGAGAACCTGTAACGTTAAACTATTTATTACCACTGCTACATTTGAAATAACGAAGTGGAAGGATGAATATCTTTGATTTTTTTTACCTGCTTCCATGGTCACCCATTACAACGAGAAGAGTGTCTTCTAATACCTTTCTGCTACTCCATGATTCCATAAATGATAAAAGAAGATCATCTGCTGTCGACATTTGGTTGAAATCGTTATGACAGATATCTCCTATGATGGTGAAACAAAATTTTTTGCCATCTAACTGAAACAACTGTAAAAGAATATCAGTCAGCAGGATGGATTTTAAGGTATATTTTTTTTAATCTATACATATAAGGTCTAGGATTCTTGTTGTGCTCGATTAGGTAGGTTCTTATGAATGAAACACAGCTCAAGGAAATCTTCAACAAAAGACGACAATTGGTGGAACATAAACTTTTATTAATTAGTATTTTTACAATACGGGTGTCACACTGCCACGCTTGGCGCCAAAATTCGAATGCCCGCTTGCCGGCTCGCTCGCTCGCTTATAGACAACACAGGCTCAACTGTCAAAACTGATGACGTGACATAACTACTATAAGTCGATTAATCGATTGAACGTTACATGAAGTACTTATTTTTATAATGTACTAGCTTCCGCCCGCGTGGTATGTTGATAAAAAGTAGCCTATGTCCTATTCCGGAGTGTATCCTATGCCTGTGTCAAATTACATCCAAAAGTCCAAACATCGTAACTTTCACATTTATAATATTATAGTAAGATATATTTTGACGAAAGGAGAATCTTTTTTCTGATGTCCAACGTAAGTGTCGTGCGTAAGATAATAAAATTTTTGATATGAAATTATTGCTTAATCTAGGTTGCACTTTTACTACATACCATTTTTATTACGATATATGTGACCAGAATTTAGTGTAGTCAAGTAAGCACAATTCCTGTTATGTACGGAACATCGTTTCGGACACACTCTTTTGCAAATAAACGGGCCCCTAAGGAAATTTATTTTCTAAGATCGATTTGAGTTAATTAAATGAAACTTATTGCTTTTTCGTAGCCTGTATACTTTACGTGTAAATTAATGCCCGAGAAGTGAATTCGGGCAATTGAAAGAAAATAAAACGATATCTTCTTTTAAACAGATGCACCAGCCCAAACAATAACAAGTGGTCGGCAATAAAAACAAGTTTTTCTTTTACTTTATTAGATTAAATAAAGTGACAAATTTATTATGTTTTCGGCTTACTCACGTAATAATTTGACTAGTTTCAACTTTTCAATCCCATGCTAGAGGCCCATATTCATGAGCAGCATTCCGCGACACGCGACTCGGCGACTGTCTACTCGAGTCTATGCGCCTAACGCGCCCTCTGCGATTCACGCGTTCTTTCTTCTATCCGTGGCGTCGGCAGCGACACGGCGCGCGCGACACTGTTGCCACGCTAGACTCGCCCGCCTGAAGCTGCGTTGGTGTTGGGTTCGAATCCCAGGTCGACGCAAAAACAGTGTTACATACCGCGCTAACTGTGTCACACTCCAGACCCGTAACAGTGCTGGCTAGTCTAAATGAGGGACCCCAACTTTTTGCACGTACGCTTCCACGTCGCCAGAAGGGTGCGGGCGAGCATTGTCGTCCATAAAAATGGAATCTTCCCCAAGTGCAGTCAATGTGGGTTGTGCATATGGATTTTGGACTTACATTATTTACCGGTGTGCATGTTAATGTTCCATAAAATGAACACCGTACGCTCCGTCGAATTTATTTCTGCCCAAAACATAACGCAGCCGCTGCCATAATGTCCTCAGAAAAGTGATCGGCGGCGGCGACCTCTCGCGTCTAGCCATAGTCGAGGTCATGGTGCGGAGTGAGAGGAAACTGGGAAGCCGTGTTCTCTTTCTGCGAAGCAGTGATACTCGTGCAGAGGAGGCGGAGCGCGTGAGGGAACTATCGTCCTCACGCCCCAGCCGTCGGGGTAGGCGACATTCCGGGCGTCGGGGATCGAGAGATGATCTCCGGCCACCGTAAACGCGGGTCTGTGGACGGCGATTGAGGGTAGCTCGCCCGATTAGAACCAGAACCGAGCGTACAGCGCGTCGCGTCCTGCGGGCGCTTTCAAGAGGCATAGACTACCACAGACGAGGCCCTATAGGGCTGATGTTCAGCTGGGGTTGCGGGGCAAGCACAATATGTCACCGCGGCCTCGTCCTAAAGAAGGAGAAGGAACAGGGAGTGTTAAGAGTCTGAGGGCGAGAGAAGTCATTTACGATTCCGCAACGCCTGACTCACCAAAAAGCGGTCATCTCTTGGTTCTGTGCATCGTTTTCTTCTCGAACCGGGTCTTGTTGTAATCGAACCGGTCTCTTGATACCGTTGTTAAGTCCGCTGGACAGTTGAACGACTCACATTTAGCCGCTGAGGCACGTAAGTTTACGAACAACCTTCAAGTAGGGCTATAATTTTACTGGTCCTTATTAGTTTATCGCCCATATCAAAAAGTGGTATATAAAAATTAAATTGTTTAATTTTCAGAAATATCCATAAAGCTTTAAAATTTTGAAATCAGTTAAAAATTGTTTCAGCAATTCGTGCCATTGGTAAAGCAATTCTAGAATAATCTATATCATTATTTTTCTTTTAATAATTTAAATTGTTAAATTTAGAACGTAAACGATTCTACAAATAATAAGCCAATATATCGTCAAATTAATAAAATCTCTTCTTGTTCTTCTTTATTGAAGATAACCTAAATTGCCCGTTTTTTTGCAAAACAGTTTATTAATTTTAAAGTGATATGTGGTAGTGAAAATAATTAACATCTTTGTTTTGGCATTGCGTGTAAGACATCGCCTCGACACCCTCAAGGAGTAGGCGAATCCTCGTTTCTATTGGAGATGCAAAGATTATCCGCACGCCTCTAGCGGCAAAATTTAGAAACTGTCTAAGAATGACACTGTTTGTTTATTAATTGAAGTTATTTATGTTAGATTATTCAGATGGATCACGATACTAAACGGATACCTGTTGCTAATAAAACAGAAATACGAAATATTGTTGCGTTCCTCATGTAGTACTTACGGAGATACGGAAATAAGTTTTCATTTATTCCCAAAAGTCAAAACTATGAAGAATAAATGGAAGACAGCTTTAAAAATACGCAAGCCAATTTCACTATCAATGAGAGTTTGTTCTCATCATTTTCAAGCATTAAACTTTTTTCCAAACAGAAAGTATAATAATGTTTTAATTATTTTATTTCACATCAATTATATTTATATATATTTCATAAGTTACCTATTCATTTAGTTTACACTAAGGCGAGTTTCTCGTCAGATAACGAGATTATGGTTATTGTTCCAGATTCTAAGAGGCACAAGTTGATTCCTTATGTCGTACCGTCTCAGAATATTCCTTAAATAAGCTCCGTTAAAGAACTACCATTACAAAAAAGCACTCAAATATAGTTTCCTTCTATGTTGGGAAGAGGATAGATCAGCCTTAAAGCAATTAACCCTCTCAGATTTACTCAGTGATATGTAGGTATTAGAAACATCGACTATTGACAGCATAATTATTGTCTTAGGGCTGATTTTTCAATGGTTAGATAAAAGTTACCTGTTCAATAATAACAATGCTGTCGCGTCAGAATGTTTGTATAAGACTGTGACAGCAACAATTTTACTCCTCAGATAACATTTATCTGACACTTGAAAAATCAGCCCATAAACAACAAAATGCCACTTAAATCTGATTTTTATTTATAACTAGCGACCCGCCCCGGCTTCGCACGGGTGCAATGCAAAATATACCTACTACAGAATGTCCTTATACACAACGTTCACAGCTTTTTTGTCATTAGCCAATACAAACATGTTTTGCTTAGACGTTACTCTTGACAGCGCGACATATAATTGGCCATGTGAAAAACACTCAGCACTCAAGTCTAATCCTGCAACATTAAAAGTTTGACCCTGCGATTTATTAATGGTCATTGCAAAAGATATTTTACCTTCGATTCGTCCTTGAACTTCAGTGCCAAACAATATTTACACACTACTGACATAGTACCTATGGACACAATACGATCATCCTTGTAACAAATCAAAGGATCGTAATTCATGGCAGAATATTCTTTATTTACCCATCTGTGGCTGATCGGTTGTCCGTTTTGTTCAGCGTTACTATGTGTCTGTGCTGATTCTCTCGTTCTCTGTATTCGATTTCTATTCTGGCTGAGGCGAGCCTCATGCTCTACAGAGGATTCTCTGGCTCTCTGAACTCTACGTCTAACCCGATCCTGGCTGCGGCGAGCCTCACGCTCTATTGAGGATTCTCTTTCTCTCTCAGTTCTATTTCTATCTCGGAGCTGGCTGAGGCGAGCCTCGCGTTCCGTTGACGATTCTTCATTTCTTGCTGAACGTGCTCTCCTGGCATTCACTGTACTACGACCTATGTTCGCACGACGACGTCTTCCGGACATGACTTTAAGGTCTGTTCAAAATTTTATAATTAGGTACTCAGTACTTGATTAAACTCACAACTTAAAACTATACGTATGATTATGAACTAATTGCACTAATTATTGGTTAGTGCTGGATTAAAAAATATTTACTTACTATTCGTTTGACTAAAAACAAAAGATTATCAACAACAAAATATACCTATTCTATTCAGTTCTTCTATGAACTTAACTATAATTTTCAATAATTGAAAATGCTCGCCCTAATACTAAATTGCCTTAACTCTAAATTCAAATCAAAGTCTTAATGGAAGAAATACCAAGAAATATGGTTTTAAGCTAATCCTATCTAACCTAATGTACTTAAAAATTAAAAGATAATCAACACAAAAGATACTTATTCTATTCAGTTTAATTAATTCTTGATATTTTCTTCGCTAGAGAGCTCCGATAAACGCGTGCGATCGCTGCAAATCATAAAGTGCTGTAAGGCGAAGCGCGGCCATCGACGCGCTATTTATAGGCACGCGCCGCCCGGCGCAAACAACTACGACCCTGCATTTTAAATTTGTAATATCTTCGGTAATATTCACTTAAATTACATGCTGTAAAAGCATATTGATCTATAATGAATGCACAATTTATTTAAGGTACTTAAATGGATAAGGATTAATGCTGTATTGTTTAAAATCACTTCGTAAATAACCATTTTTCAGTAAAGAATAAAAATGGTTATGCTGGGTTATCCCTAAGAGATAGACATATACCATCGCGGACTTTTTTGTTGAACTTTTTAAGGTGAACAATACTGTAGTACATTATTTTGGTCTATCTCTAAGCGCAAAAAAACGTGCTTATTTACGACATCACATTAGAAACCTTTAAATTTATCAGTGTTTCTCTACTATATTATGCATTTATTATACATACAAACCTTCCTTAAGAATCACTCTATCTATTAAAAAAAAACCGCGTCAAAATCCGTTGCGTAGTTTTAAAGATCTAAGCATACATACGGACATACAGCGAAAGCGACTTTGTTTTATACTATGCATTGATTTAATTTTCCCTGACATTAATAAAATTGTTAGGAAAACTTTCAAAATGCCGTTCTTGGACAGTTTCACAATTTTGATACTATATTCGCTAGTTAGAATCTTTGCATCGCCAATAAAGTGTACCGATATTTATGACGCTTTGAGTTAGCTATTGTAACTTTGTTGGACAAATATTTTAGTGGTTTGTGTGCGGCTATATAATTAAGCACGTTGAATGCCCCTGTGAATTTGATGCTGATTGTGCCTTATGTATTTATTAATTCAATACGTTGAAGTTGCACGATTTTGTCCACATGTCTCTCTTATTCAATCACGTCCATTAACAAGTAGGTTATGCTGTACATACCTCATCGGATATATTCATCATTAATTCATACGTGGGAGTGGATCCAGTGCAGTACTGAGGTGTCTTAAAAGGCAGTGAGCTATGTTCAAGGAAGAATGCACGAAAATAATGATCTGCTGGTTGGTGTTGAAAGCCATTGAACCTGTATTGGAAGGTTCCTATGTCTGGCGAATCTTCCCAATACGCTGTCTGATATCTGTACAAATGTTTATAAGAATTAACTATATAAATATTTTATAGATATTTTTAGAAGCGTTTAAAAGAGAACAACACCATACCCAAAACTCTTCAGTTTGTAAAAAATAAACGATCTATGGTCAACGTAAACTTTTTTTGTAATTTTTTTTCTTGCGTCGGGATGTTCTTCTTCTGGCTTGCCCGTAAATATGGGAAATAAAGCTGCAGGGGTTCCATCCCCCACAATGTTGAAACTGCAACCACATTCAGAAGTAATCCGAATGAATAACAATTCACATGGATGGGAAATAGTAATAATAGGTATTACAAAACATTTTTTTGCCAATCCACACTATTTCAGGGCCTCCATCATTCGGGAGGCGCATTTTATGCATATACATATCGCTAATATTCGAAATATTAAAAGCTTTTACCCGTTCATGATTATAGCATTTTTAGAGAGATACTTGTAACTTTTCGGCATTTTCCTCATAAAGCCATTGTGTGATGAAGAATCGAAGGCTAGGATCATTACGTTGTAGGAATTTCCATGATTTTGGGGATTTGGATAAGTCTTCACTGGGCGTAAACCCGTCTTAACGCCTTCCCATCGCGGTGTAAATAAACTGAAACTAAAAGAAAAGGTATTCTATCTTTGTCATACTTTGGTTTTAGCAATGCTATGAATACGAGTACAATGGTCGTGCTGGCCCAGAGGTTAAGGCGCCCACTTCTCATGCATATGGACCAATATATCTTTTACCGAATCGTATGTAGGCACTTTCTATTGATTATTTAGGTAACTGACATATGGCGAAGGAAAACACCGTGACGTAACTTACGCCCGGTTTCCGAAAGGCCGATCAATGTTAAAATCAATTTAATCTCTTGTCAAGCCATCTGATTGGTTAGCTAAATTCTCGCGCGACGCTCTTGACTTGCCAACTGTTGTCTTTGATGGCACAAATATACCGTACAGCTGCACTGTAAAGAATCTTGGCCTACAACTTGACTCCTCACTCAATTGGCAAGCACAAGTTGCAGCTGTCAGTCACAAAGTCACAAATATGTTACGGTTCCTCTATCGCTTCAAAAACTTGCTACCGTTCAGTGTAAAGGCGACGCTTGTGCAAACTCTTATCTTCCCTATAATCGACTATGGTGATGTTTGCTACTTAGACCTGAATGCAGATCTGCTCAATAAAATTGACCGGCTTCTCAATAATTGCATTCGATTCGTCTTTAATCTCCGCAAGTACGATCATGTGTCAGCGTATCGAACCCAACTAAAATGGCTACCGATAAGACAGCGACGTGAGATGAGGGCATTAACTACTCTTTTTTCTATTCTCCATACACCCTCGTCACCTTCCTATCTAACTTCACACTTTCAGTATGTTTGCTCGCAACACAACAAAAATCTGCGTTCTTCTAATAATCGCCTTCTGCACTGCCCTGCCCACCGTTCAGATACTATACACTCTTCCTTTTTCGTTAAACCCATTCTTCTCTGGAATGAGCTACCTTTGGAGGTCAGGATGGTTGATAGTAGGAACGCTTTCAAATTGAAACTACGAGATCACATTCGGAAGAAATTGGCGGATTCTCCACAATAGTTTATTATCGACACTTTTTTCCCGTGGAATATGATAATATATATTGTATAATATTATGTATACGTATAGTCTGTGCTATATATATATATATATTTATTGCATTAATATAATGTATATGTATACATATATTTATATTTATTGATATTTATATTTATATTTGAGCAATAATTTTGTAGCATGTGTTTTTTTTTTCCTTGTTTTTATTAAGAAGATGCACCTACCACTCCTATTTCTCCACCACCCAAAGGTAGACTGGCAGAGAACGCCTAAGGCGTTAAGTCCGCCATTGTACGTTGTGCAAGAAGTGTAAAATAAATAAATAAATAAATAAATTATCAACAACCAATCAGATGGCTTGACAGGAGATTTAACAGGAGATTAGTTAATTTTAGCGTTGACTAGCCTTTCAGAAACCGGGTGTTAGTGTCATAATTTGTAATTATAAGATTGAAATCGCTAATCCGCCCTGATCAAGCGTTAAATTAATGCTCAAACCTTCTCCTTGTGACAAGAGGCCTTTGCTCAGCAGTGGGCACTTATAAGCTGATGATGTGATGTGATGAATAATACAAAGTATGTAAACTAACCTATACTTATATCTACCGGTACATTTGACTCTGACATGGTCACTTCTTCTAAGTGTATACTTATCTCCTCCCTTTATTATAGTGCTGTTGGAGAGATAATATTCTTGATCATTTACATACATTATATCTCTATAGTCACAACTGATATCTGTTACGTTATTTAATATTTCTTGGGTAACATAGCATTCTGATTTCTACAACAGAAAATTGCGTTATTGAGGTTATGTGAGAAAAATAAGTTGGAAATAGATATAGAACACGCTTTCTCATAAAGTGGCAATCCCATGACAATTATGCACATAATGACACCTATAATGTGACTTTTTCATTACTACGAGTGAGTAATAGTTTTTTTGTATTTCCGAGTAGTCGAGTTACGTTTAGACTTGCGATACAATGCTATCCGCGCAAAGCTCAAAAAAAGAAACCTTCTTTTTATAGTCTATGGACGATGCGCGCGCGTAGAAAAACTGTTTAGTTTTTCCCGTTATTACGAAGCATTTTTCACAAGTCGTCTCATTTTCGCTTTTGAAGATATTTAGTAAGGTATTATTTTATTCAGAAGTGTGTTGAAAAACGTCGTTTGATACACGTTTGTATTTATTACGGTATTGATAATTACCGTCCTTGGTTCCTCAAGATCACCAACATTACACACTTGTACCATAATTTACCTACTATTTTTTTTTTCCAAAGATTCTTTCTACAATTTTTTGTAGATTTGTGTTAACGCACCTTACAAACTACCCAATCAAAGCCATCACAGGTTACTTTCGGCATATCCCTAGTTAATGCCATAACTTCAGCAGAAAATGGATCGAGTTTAGGCCTTTCACAACCCTTGCCTTTCTCTTGTAAACAGTATTCCATTGAACGGTTTTCAACTATACTGTAATTGAAGTAAGTACATATTATTTGATTGAAATATGCATATCTTATATGTGTAACCTGTTTTTGACAGGAGAACACAACTCCCAGAGCTATTGCTCTGGAGTCTGGTGGACCAGACTCCAGTGGTCGTGCATGAAAGCGCCAGGATGTACGTCGCCGCTTCCCTGGCCCGGAGTACGAGAGGTCAAAGGGTAGCTTTCAGTCAGTAACGGTCTGTGCCCCCTCTCGTCTTTCCCAAAGCGTGCAAAGATATTTGACAAGTTTTTACCATAGAAGAAACATAATAGGCGCGTTATTATTACCTACGGGTTTCTTCTAACCCAAGTGGTTTTCGGACATCCCTTGCAATCCAATGCGGTAACAATCCGAGCGTGATGATAGTTCCGAAAACAATGAAGACTTTTTGCCGCCTTCTAGTAGAGACCCTCAATAAGCACACTAACATCTGAAAAATTGTGTGATAACGATATGTAGCCTTATACCACACCAACAGGTTACCTACAGATATAGTTATAAATAGTTTATGAAAAATTAACATTGAAAAAAATGACAAAATAAATAAATGACGTACACAACTTATACAGACTTATACGACATGCAATCTTACATTTTAGATGCGTTAAAAGTAAAACATGTCTTTTAAATCATTGCGGAAATAAAATTATTGGAATCAATATTATGAAAAAACTATAAAATTAATAAGTTATAAGTTTTTTTTAATATTTACGAATTAAAATTATATGTAATTTCAATAAAAAATACCTAAAAATATAAAAAATTGTCAAATAGCATTTTGTGCAATTTGTTTTATGAGACGTGTCATTTTACTTTGATTAAACCACAAAATGTAGGAGATTTTTTCCCATAACGGCAACATTTTCATGATCTGTCACGTAACAAAATATTCAATATTTTTCCTGAGTGCTATAGGCTATAAAACATCACGCCACGATCAAATAGAGCCGAGTGAAACCGTGTTATGGTAGCTAGTCTTCTTCTTATATATAAAAATGGATCGCAAAAATGGAGCGCATAACTCAACAACGCCTGGACCAATTTTGCTAATTCTTTTTTTGTTGTGTTTGTTATTGTCAGGAGAAGGTTCTTATCAAGTAGAGGGGAAGATTAGGAAAAAGTGACCCTTTAATAGATAGTTGGACCCGTGCGAAGCGGGGGTGGGCCGCTAGTTAATGATAAAAATACCGGGAGTAGTTTTCCATACGACACGAACTTGAGCACTGACAGGCCGCTTAATGAACTTAGCTAAAACGGCTGGGTTTGAGTTGCTTCATTTTGACGATGCGTATTCGGTATTTAGGTGCAATTTTTTTACGTCATAGGCAGACAAATAAGCGAGCGGGTTACCTGATGTTAAGCAGTCAGCGCCGCCCATGGACACCCGTAGTACTATCCTATGCCTATATGGCCTTTTGTGGGTTATTAAGGATTTAAGGATAGATAGATTTGAGGATTGAGAATGGGGGAGGGGTAATAATTGGGCCTCCTCTCACTCACCCGGTGAAACAAAACGTAAGTGTTTCTTCATGCCGGTTTTTTGTAAGGCCGTAGTATCACTTCAGTTCAGCCATTCGTGCCAAAGCATGGTTCTCCCACATTTATTTTTTAGCATAAAATAATATCTCTACCCGTGAAATAAAACAGACACTACAGAGTTAATACACTTCGGTCGTTGCACTAGGTACACATCTTAAAAACAAGGATTTATTTACCTTTTTAATTGTTTTTAAAAAGACGACACTCGTCTTCCCTATATTGGGTACCATATTGTCAACAAATTTTCAGATAAATGTTGAAAATAAGATAAATATTGCTATCACGTTTTCAGCGAATTAACTTTTGACAGATTATTTCTTTTCTGTTTTTGACAATTATGCCAGTTATTATTCTTATTTATGTTGTCAGTTGCCAGGTTCATAGGGTTTAGCCATGGCCCTATATAACAAAAGTTTGTGTAATACGTACGATATCTGTATTTTCTAATCCGTGTACGGTATAATACGTCCATGGGCTGCGCATGGAGGCGGGATACTCCTTTAAAAAGCAGTTTACGATGCTGCCATCTCTTAGTGTTGAACTCTAATTTTAATTTACTAATACTTTTAAGCAACCAAACAGATGGCTGTGGAGTGCAATTTTTTCAAATTATTTGTATTTTTATAAATAACTAGCAGCTCGCCCCTGCTTCGCACGGGTCTCATCATCTCGCTTACGATGAAAGAGTCCCTATTACCCAACTCTCCCCTCTACTTTTCTAAAATTTTTTTTCATAAGAACCTTCTCCTGACAATAACACATAACAGAAATAGAATCATTAGAATTGGTCCAGGCGTTGTTGAGTTATGCGCTCACAACACATTTTGCGATCCATTTTTATATATAAGAGGATTCTGTCTCAACATTTTATTTATTCAAAATATGATGTACTTATGTTTAAATAAAACCTACACGGAAGCTTAATTTATTAATAAATGTCAATCCCGCGATGCAAGACTCAAAAATTTTTAAAGGCTAGAGAGTTGTATCCAGATTATAACGGCAATTTGCAAATGTCATATTTTATGACTTATATTGCCATTTGCAATTGGCCGTTACTATGTCAGAATTTTAATTAGATTCCTGATTTGACATGACCTACTGTCATTTTGTGAAATAATGATACCACATATAACAGTGTAGTGATGAACACAAAAATCGATAAGCAATCAGTGAATCAGTTTCACGAAGGCATTCAAAAAATTACGGCTACCAAATGGTCTAAATGCGTATCCGATGTTGTCAAAGAAGAGGAAAAAATGAGTAAGCTAGATTTGTTAATTGACAATAAAAATTACAGACATAATTCATAATAAATGTTACAGAAAGTAACAGCGATAGCGATAGCGATGATGGCGACAATTTATAAAATTTCTGTTTTATTTGTCATGTTCCTTCATGATCACATTTTTTATTAATTTCACACACAATTACAAAAGAAAAGTCTCAGATCGTTAATTAATTGTCAAAACTAAATTATCAGTTCAGAAATATTTTATTTCCTGATACACTTAGTTTACGAGATTAAATTTATAAACGAGAGGAATCGATTCAGAAATATTCGATATCCATAATCCATATCGAATAATTTCGCAACGTCACTATTTTGTATGTGTCATAACGTTGCAACACTGAAATTGTCAAATCTGGAATGGAATTAAAATTCCGAATATAGTCGTTTATTTTGAATTAAATTTGAACTTTTTATTTTTGTGAATTGAAAAAATGCTTACTACCAGACGATGTGTATTTGGGTCTAAAACAACATGTAAGATTGCTAATCTGCCAATTCGTTCTTAAATAATAAGTCTTACTTAATTCTTGTTAGCCTAGGGCGTAGAATAACAGACAATAATTAATTATCAAAATTGTTGTTAATCCCACTTCTGAGTTGTAGAAGGGTAGTTGCAACTTGCAAGTGCACTTCGATAAATGATACAAGTCCAGTTCACACAATATATTTAACTTTATTCACCAAGCATTAATTACAATAGACACTATTAAATACTTGCGTAGCAAAATACTTTCGACTCAATTACAATAGTTCTTACCAGGACGACTGCCAGCGGACGAATGACCGACCTTATTATTTTTCATTAATAATGTTGACATCGATTAGTAGGAATCGATGTCATGCAATCATCCATAGACTAAACCTTTTAATCGACTAATTATTTAAATAAACTCTTATAGTGTAACATGATATAGAATAATTGAAGAGGAACTATTTAAAACGAATATAATTTTACTATTTAAAACGGATTAGGTGCAATGATATTATAAGTAAAAAGGTGTAGATAGGTTACAAGCACTCGGTAAGTGATACATTAAAATGTGGCTAACTAGCCACACTTTTTTTAATATTTGTCTCTCTTTCACTCGTGATTATTGAATCATGCCATCTCACTTTGACGTCTAAACATACGAATTGTTCATGTGTGTATAAGTGTGTCGTTTTTGAAAATCGAATTTTGTTTAGGTAACCTATGTATATTTCGTTCCACAATTAGAGACAAAAAAAGAGGGGGACCAGCACAACCTGTAGGTACCCCTAATGATGTCCGGATGGCAAGTCTTTATTTACATTGTTTTATTTCAACAATAAAACTGATACAAAGTTATGGTAGTAAGTGGTAAGGAATGCGCAATGTTGCAGATACGCAACAAAGCATTTTTCAATTTTTTTAAGCTATGTAAGTATGGGAAGTTACCTAAATTTATATGTTTCTGTGTTCGAGGCACTATTCAAAGAGAGAAAATATTTTGTTCTTAGATTTAAAAAAAATCACGCATTTAAGGGTGGGAATTATGAGTTTCGTACACTTTCAAATTATGGTTTCTGCAAATGAAACACATTGGTCTGCTTGCTTTCAGTGATTGTATTTCAAAATGTTGTAAACTATCCATAGTTCGTATGGAGTGTCATCGAGTATTCAGTATCCAGAATCAAGCACTAGGTCATATATGGCTATACACTAGGTTATATAGGTACCTTTTTTTGTCATGGGAAAATCATCCAATGACTTCTCCCGCCCAGGGTAAGGCGAAAGAGAGTGTCAGACTCTTACTGACTACAAACCCCCCGTTCCTTCTCCTGCTCTGGGCCGAGGTCGCGGTGCCTCATTGCGCTTACCCTGAAACCTCGGCTGAACATTGGGCCCCCCTGTTGGGTCTGTGGTGGTCTATTGGCTCTTTGAGGCGCGCGCGGAACGCTACGCATAGTACGCTCGGGTCTGGTTCTGGTTGGGCGGCGAGCCACCCTTACTGGCCGTCCGCAGACCCGCGCAGGTTATGTAGGTACCTACATGTACAATATTGATAATTACTCGAATGCTGTGAGTTATTAGCAGGAAGGAAAAACTACTCTTTATCCATATGTAGCCAATAACGCGTTTGTAACTTAAGTTACTATACAACTTTAAGTGTGAAATGTTTGTATAGCTGATTTACCTTGGAGTGAGTTGTCAGAGGTATTTTGAAGTTATAACGATTTAATGGAAGTATTGTTAATCCGAGGGGGAGTAGATAAATAAAAGAAGCTAATAGATAATAAAACAATTTCCTATTATTAATTTTTTTGTCTGACTAATAGTTTCTTTCTATTCAAGGTGTTTTACCGTTAGCAAATATAATATTCTTTGTCTCCATGTTTATTTACGATTAATTAAATAGGGATGCATATTATGGAAACCAATCCCTACTAATATTATAAATGTGGAAGTTTGTGACAATCTATGAAACTGGTGGGGATGTTGTTTAGAACCAGAAGAAGAAAATAGGATAGGGTAGGGTTCATTGTTTGGTAGATAGTGTACGGTAGTCAAATGACGAGAGCGAAGACGCTGGTAAAAGTAGTTTGTAATAGGAACAACACCTAATTGTCACTACTAA